CGACTCAGTTATGATTTGTAACAACAACAACATCTCAGCAAAAGCTCATATCATCAGCTATAACCGGCTTAGTTCACCTCGACAGCGAGAGCGATTTCAGGCTCTGCAACCTTCGGCAAATATCTCACCGAGAGACAACCTTCAAATTTCAGCAACTAAGCAGCAAGATCAGTTGCAACGCCTGAGTCATGAAGAGATTCGCGTCAAGTTTTGTTTGTAATCCAACCGTGTTCTGTGTTTGACAGGTGAAAGGTTATGAGTTCTGATGCCGACACAGCGATGACTACGAGAGCGCAATAGCAACAAGTTTGTACCGGATGCGACGTTAGTCTAAGCTACAATTCCGATCTGCAATGATGAAGTTGAACAACGAATCCTCCGGTATCAAGAGCAGATATGGACTGCGGCTGAAATCACAAACTGGCAGCTCAGATTCCCAGCCTTAGCTCGGCATTTCGAGTAACCGACGAGGAAGCCGATCTTGCTACAAAATCAGCGTCAACCATTAAAGGTTTAAGTGGTGTTTTGAGTCTTTACTTTTCTGATTTTTGCGTAAACTATATGATATGTTGTAGTTTAGATTCGATGACTTCATTATTTAATGCTGCAATGTTAGTTCTGGATTTTATTCATTTCAAGCTGGTAGATTTACCTATTGAAAGAAGTTGGTGTTGTGTATGCTGTGTGCAACTGTATTCTGATTGCGTTGAGATTAGATACATGGCACAAGCTTGATTTTCTGTGATCAACATTTTACTGCTATGTCAGTTCTGATGGTGAAAGCTTTGACAGGTCTTTCCATTTTCCTTTGTAGAAAGGAGAGATAAATGTCCATTTTATGGATTTGAATTATGCTCTTATTCATTTACGTTGTAAATTTTCTTAATGTTTAAGTGTGTAATGTGTGTCCGTTATGCTTTCATTATGACTTGGGCCTACGCATACGGTGTTGCCGTATTTTGTTTAGTGTGTTACAATGTTGAGATTTCGATTGTTATTTCTCTGTTGAAAATTTTTAAACACAGACATCATGCCAATTTTGTTTTGCTTTGACAGAAATCCGCGTGTGTGGTTTGTGTATCATGTGAAAACCGTGTTGGATTTTGGCATTGGTTTTGGTTAGTGTTTTTATCATGTTAGTTTATAGATTGAATTATGTAGAACAACTTGTAGCAGGTTTGGATATTAAGCTTTGGATGGAAGTGTTAATGTGGTAATATCCATTCATGGTCCTATGTGTTTGTCAATTAGAATAGCATATAAATGTTGCATGGAAATCTATACCGAACTGGTTTTTGGATTAATATATTTGCTTGCCACTGTTGCTTTTGGTTTGAACATCATATTGGATATATTTTTGTGGATCGAGTTGGTTATTTAAGACGTTTATTTGATTAGAGAACAATGGAATTTTTATTGAGTTTTTTTAAAATTTGGTTTTGGATTGTTTCTTGACACATACTAAAAGCCCATTTAATCCTTTCTATTTGCTCTCTTTATTTCATAAATAATTTTGCAAACTTTGTGGATAATTCTTTAACTAACTTTGTATATCTTTGTAATTAACTTTATTATGGGAAACCTTGTAAATAATTTTGATTAGGTTATTGTTCGATCTTCATTGAATTAATCGGACTTCAATTTGTGGTTTTGGTAACTCGATACCATTATGCCATTGAATTTTCTTACGCTTTAAATGATTTTCTCCGCGTCACAAGACACACTCATTCAGGTAAGCTTGATTTATCTGTTTCATTATATTTTATCCCCCACTTGATAACAATGTACCCCTTTTCCTCCTAAAACCTCGGTCTCGTACCGAGTCCTTTTCCAAACCATAAGGAATCGTTTCTCTTTGTATTGAATTAAAAGAGGGGATTAAGTGTAGACTTTCTTCCTCTCCGAGTGTCGAGATGCCCACTGTAGTGTGGGTGGTTTAGACACTCATCTTTCAATACGAAGACGTTTTTCTTTCCATTCTTTCTATTTTCCAAACTATTCTTCTCCTAAAATATCGGCCCCGCACCGAGAACATTTTCAAACCATTTCTCTCCTAAAACCTCGGCCCCGCGCCGAGTGCATTTTCAAAACACCTTTCAATAAGGAATAAATTATCTTTGTATTGAATTAAAAAAGAGGGGATTAAGTGTAGACTTTCTTCCTCTCCGAGTGTCGGGATACCCACTGTAGTGAGGGTGGTTCCGACACTCGTCTTTCAATACGAAGACGCTTCCCGTCCATTTTCAAATCTCATCTCTTTAAAATCATTTCTTTGTGTTGAGCTAAAAAGAGGATTGGGTGTAGACCCCTTCTTCTTCGAGCGTAGGGATGCCCACTGTAGTGAGGGTGGTCTCGATGCTCGTCTGTCAATACAAAGACACTTCCAACATTTCCTCATAAAACCTCGGTCTCGTACCGAGTATACTTTCAGTAATAAATTGATTTCTCTTTGTATCGAATTAAAGAGAGAAGATTGGGTGTAGACCTCTTCTTCTCCGATTGATGGGATGCCCACTGTAGTGAGGGTGGTCCCGACACTCGTCTTTCGATACGAAGATGCGACTTCTTCCACTACCTCTCCTTTTACAACTTCCTCCCGCAACCCTTGTCACCTAAAAAACCTCGGTCCCGTACCGAGGGCATTTTCAAATCTTTTCACATTAAAACTTGAATGGTCGTGGAGTGGTTAGGCGTAGGCCTTCTCCTATCCCGAGTGCTGACGTTTACCGTAGGGTTCTCTGTCGCAAAGCACTTACCATTCAAAACCTAAATCATCTTTAATTAGAGGATGAAGTTCTCTTTGCATTGAATTAAAGAGAGAGGATCGGGTGTAGACCTCTTCTTCTCCGAGCGTAGGGATGCCCACTGTAGTGAGGGTGGTTTCGACGCTCGTCTTTCAATACGAAGACGCCTCGTTCGCGACACCTTTTTTATAACAAAAACTTTGAGATAACGAATTGGGTACTACCCGTAGGGGTTACTATCTGAGGACTTGTCTCGCCCCTAAAAAACAATCCAATCAATCAAATGCGACTTCTAGCCCCGCGTGGCGAAAACTAATCAATCTTTCAAAAAGGATATGCTACGTCCGTTCTACCGCAAACAGGTAACGCCTAAGTCTCCAACGAGCGAGCAGCAAAACACCTAACTGCTAGAATGCGCACGATAGCATCATCCATAAAAAACATCAACACACCGTAGGCCGAACTACGGCTGCTCTGATTCTTTACTTTCTCAAGTAAAGATACGTAGGCACAAGGGCCACAATCCTTGCCGAGCACATTCCCCCCAATATCTGTAGTTCCCCGAACTACGTCGACTCTGACTTTCTCACATCCATTGAGAATACGTAGGCATAGGACTGCGAAGTCCTACCGAGTCTGTTCTTTCTCTTTTCTTCCCCGTTCTCTCTTTCCTCCTAACTTTCTTGTTTCTAACCCTTCTTTTACCCCGTGGAACACTTCTTATAGCATGATGTTTAAGCAAATAAATTCACACATCGACAAACAAAAGGTTCCCATCGAGTACGATGGATGCGAGGGGTGCTAATACCTTCCCCTCGCATAACCGGCTTCCGAACCCGTTCTTGGTTGCGAGACCATCTTATCCATCTCTTTCCTAAGGTTTTCTCGATATTTTCCTTTCCCATCATGGGATAAATAAAGTTCGGTGGCGACTCTTCTGTCTATCCTTTTCGCCTCCCCGTCGTTGCACGATGCATTTTTCGAGTAGCGACAGAAATCACGACGAAAAGAAGAGTATTGCAGGCTACATATTCATGACTGAAGGCGCTCCAATCTCATGGAGCTCAAGGAAGCAAATAATTGTGGCTTTGTCATCATGTGAAGTTGAGTATGTGGCTGCATCATATGCACCATGTCAAGCGGCATGGATAGAGATGTTGCTCGAAGAGCTCAAGATTATGAAACCTAGGAAATGAAGTTGTTTGCCGACAACAAGTTAGCTATCGACCTGGAGAATCACCTAGTGTTTCATGGTCGAATTAAACATATAGAAAAAATGTATCATTTTCTAAGGGATCGAGTTTACAAAGGAAATGTTGAATTTGAGCATTGCAAGACAGGTTCGACGAATTGAAGAGAAGCGTCGGGATGAGAAGTCTCGAGAACATGAATTAGGGAGTGTGTTAGAAGTTGTAATTCGACGTTCTGTCGAAAACTAACATTTGACTATATTGAAGTAGCTAGTCTAGATGTAGAAGTAAGCTATATTCGACTCTGTCGAATACATCGTTTAGTTGGCATGTCGAAATGTTTGGGCATGTGTCGATTTATATAGTTTTTGGTCTGCATTTTAGTTGCCTATATAAATGACATTGTATGATGAAAACACAACAACTTTACTCAATAATATTTCTCTTTTAAAATTTAATTTCTATCTCCTTTCTCTCTTTTTCTTCTCTCATCTTTCTTAAAAATCTTTTGTTCCAACAATTTTGAAAAAAAAAACATAATTATTTATAAAAAAAAAAAAAAAAAATCAGAGTTCAATTCATGGAGTCATCTATTTGAGATGTAATCCAATCTTAATAAAAATAAATAAATAAATAAATAAATAAAACAGGTTTTCTATTATTAATTCCAAGATTAGTTCCATGACAGGACTAACAGACCTAAGTTGCGAGGACACGTTGAGAGGACTATTAGAAATCCAAGATTTTAATTATTGAATGTTAGAAAAAAAAAAAGTTTCTTCCTCGTTAAGGCTCTTTTATGAGACAAATTTTCATTTAAAGATGAACACAACCATACAACCAAAACATATAAAAGTTCTCATCTATTAACACTTTTCATTACATATTCATACTGCTATCTCAATAATATAATCAATCAAGCACAATTTGATGATAACATCTTAGAGAAATTTTGATAAACCATCAAGATAGTTCAGTTCATATCCATGAATGTTCAAAGTATACATTGATAAAATGTACAATTAGTTCACATTGATACAGCATACAATACACATTGTGTGAAGTGCTAGTGATGAAAAAGTCGAAACTGAATTAGAAGCCTAACATGCTTGTAAGGTTCACCTTTACGATTACACAAGCGAACAGCACGAATTCCTTCTCTCAGCTCTGATACAGGTAAACATGTTTGTCCAGCAAAATCATGTTGTCCAGAAAAATCACGTTCAACAACTTTGATGTATAATAGGGCCAATTCTGGACAAGTTAATGCAAAGTTTATCTCCTCATTCCAAACTGGAACCCACTCATCTTCAATTGTCCTTGTTACTTTTGTGTCTATATCAGCTGGCACACCATGAATACCAACCTGCAGATATATATATATATATGTTATTATTATTTATTATGATGAAGTTTACATGTTCGGGGTCCCCTCTCCCACCGAGCTTAACCATGACTCTGATACCATTTGTTGAGGAGTTGGGGAGCGCCGAGAGTCTCAAAGGTATAATTACCTGAACACGAAAATCAGGAGGAGAGTAAAAATCGAAGTGTGTTTGGCCGAATTCTGAATGCCATCCTTCACCCATGTATACCAAAACCTGTTTATATTTAAATTAGACTTGGCTCAAAAATGCAAAGCAAAATGAAAGATGATTTTCTTTAGTTACATGCAGAGTTTTCTGAATTGGTTGGTTTACTCTAGGATCAAATATGTTATTATTGTCCAATAAGATGTCAGGTTTCTTGACATATCCACATCCACCATTGGCTTTGAACATTCCTTCCATATACCGAAGATAATGTCCATGTCCCTTTAAGGAGAAAACACAGGTGGTAAGTAATTAAATATCTTTCTTGAGAGATTTGTAAAATAGAATGAAAATAGAGATTCTAACCTGCATATTAAATGCTACCATTTGAGCTCCATGCATCCATCCATTCATAGGATCATAGTTGGAGGAATCCACACGCGAACCCTTTGGATATACTCTAAGCAAATTCTGTTGGGTGAATCTGAAAAAAAAGGTGTTGAGAGAGTTTCACACTTTTAATAAATCAAATCCACCGATCAGGATTAACTGTCGTCACAACTTTGTAAAAAGATATTCAAAATCACCTGACAATATCAGTTGCACGAGTTTTGGCGATTTCTTCAATAACTTGCTCACTCAAACTAAGACGCCTAACTTGATCATGATCCAACAGCCAATGTTCTACATTACCTTTCGGCTTTCCAGCATGAATAGAAATCAAATTTCTATACGCAAGACTCTTTTCTTCCTCACTTTCATCATCCGATTCATCCTAAGTAATTGCAAAAAACAATAATTAAGCTAGTTAGAAACCTTAGTTGATTCAAGATAAACAACTTTTATTACTATTCTCTTTTTGTAAAAATAAAATCACTTTTGGAATTATTGTCACCTTATGATTGATTCTAGATCCATCATCTTTGTCCTCGTTCGACTCAACTTCTTCTTGTTGTAACTTTTGGCTTTGATTTTCAGGAGACTCCGGTGGTTTAGTTGAAATAAGAATCCTTCCTTTCAGCGATTCTGGTGAAGGAAATTTTTTCATTTTACGTGAATGATTCGGCCGAAACAACCTAGCTCCAAATATATCATCCACCATCTGCATTCAAAAACATTAATTCCCACTAAAAGAATTTCACTAAATTTTTAAAATATGCATGCGATGAGCTGTACAGACTTTGGCGACTTTGAGTTGAAGAGGTGGAGTTATATGGTCTTCAAAAGTTATTACAACAGGATACTCAGAGGCCTCAAATGCATTGTCCCTAATTGCATTCAAACAATCTCTGAGTTTCACGGAAGAAGTTAGAGTCCTACAGCTCAAAAAATAAGTCCATTAATTAGTCTGTGCTATATGCAGACAAAGTATTGTATTTAAGAGAAAATCCATACCCTCCATGACGAACTTCGACGTCATCTTCTCTTGAATTTGGCCACAAATCGAGCTCGATGACTCTAACTCCTTTTTTGAGAGCATTTATGATTGGGGTGGTACTGCTTTCACTGTTCCATTGATTTCCAGTTAAGTAGGAGTTGTGGCCTGTGTACAAGAAATAATGAGCCAGTGGAGCACTCATGTCATGGTGCACCTGGAGATACAAATATATCAAAACATCCAAAGTCATGATCAAAGATAATCCAAAACGTCTATCTGCAAAATAACTAAAAAATGGTGTTTTTTTTTAACTTGGTATCAAATATAATACATAATTTAAATATATGTTAATATATAATATAGACAGTTTTCATCAATTTTGTAAGATTTTGTTCAACTCAATTACAATTTAAGATGATATTGAAATTTAGTTTAGGATATATTGAACCATTTACTATAGATTTTTACCATAGAACTATTTGAGCATAAGAAATTGTGTTAAGAATCTCTGGTTAAATAATGTATAAGATAAACTTATACTAGTAATTAGGAGAATCTTCCTCTTATAAATTAGTTTAATTGTGTTTAACAAAATAATTTTAATAAGTCTCTTATAGCTTTACCAACATTTGGTAAAAAAGGTATAGAATTTTATTTTTATATAAAATCTAATGAAATGGATTAGTTAGATGAATTATTAGAGATAGAGGGTGAGAAAATGATACATTTGTTTTTATATAAAATCTAACTAAATGGATTACTGTCATGAATTATATGAAATAGAGGGTAAAAAATTTGAATTTTTTTATATAAAATCTAACTAAATGGGTTGCTATCATGAATTATATGAAATAGAGGGTAAAAAATTTGAATTTCTTTTTATACAAAATCAAATAAATGTGTCAATTCGATGGGGGTTGATAGAAAGAATGAAAACAAATCTATTAAATAATAGTATAGAAAAAGATATATAAACTAATATAGATTGATATTTAATAGATAGATAGTTAAATAGGCAGATAGATATCAAAAAGATAATTAAGTTAGTTATTTTTCTTTTGTTGTTAATTTAGGTGTTTGGTTTGTTGCTGTTATTGTATAAATACTAAATATTCTCAAAGATTGATTTTGTTTAACTTTTGTTTGAGATACAAAGGATTCATTTATTTTAACAAAAAGTTGCAACAAATAAAAAGATTATTTCTTCTAAAAATATTACCTGATCAACAAGGGGACCATTAAGGTCACCAAAGAGATAACGAAAGAAAGCATCAAAATGAAGACCTCTCCTTTGAAATATATTGAGATGCTTTAGACTATGGAAAACATCTTGAGCATGTTTTTTGGTAGCATCATTATTCTCTTCTCCTTGAAAATGAACTAAAAATTTGCATAGTTCATCCATGTTCATGGTACCATTTTGTGTATACTTATAAAAAATATTGTTGATTTCCTTTGGTGGTTCAACCACCTTAAGCTTAAACATTCTATTGAAACAAAAACATACTTTGAAGTGTTGTTTCATTGATTTGTTCCTAGTGGTTTGTCTAAAACCAAATTTGGTTGCCATTTTTTGTTTGTTTGATTAATGATGTTTCTTGTGGGGGAGATAAGAGTGAGATAGAATGAAAAGTGTGAAAAGTTTTGGCATTTAAAAATTATTATCTATGGCTTGGAGCTCAAGTGAGAATTTATGCTATTACTATGTTCATAAGGAAGGTGAATAAAAAGATGAATGTAAATTGGTTTTGTTAACTTTATCTATGTTAAGAAGAAAGAGATGGCTTGAGATTCTTTTTTGATGTAAGAGTTAAATGAAATTTAATCTGTCCTCCTAAACTAGAGATGTTAGAGAGTCCTTAAGGGTCAAAAAAAGTGGAATCTATCATGGGTTCTTAAGAATTTCTCCAATAAAATAAAATAAAAAATAAAAAGTTGAGTTAAGTAATTTGTCACTATCCAAAAGTATTTTGATGAAATGATAAGAGTCTCTTTCAATTTAACCATGAATTTTGGGTTCGATTCAGTCCTAGGTACGTACAGTTATGTCGCTTATTGTGTCCTTTTTGACTTGTGAGATTAATCTCTACAATTATGTATAGATAGAGATGGAAATAAATCAGACCTTAGAAAAATTGAGTCTAACTTACAATAAAATTTTAAGATCTAACATATGGTTTATTATAGTATTTTTTTTTTCTATAGTGCGCGTGTTCTTTTTTTTTTTCAATATCTATAGTTAACCTATTTAATCAAATAGCCTTTTAAAAATACTAAGTCTAATATATTAGGTAAGATTTAAATAAAATAGATTATAGTAGACCACTTCTCTACATGAAAGAAAAAAAAAAGTCATCCTATTTATATAAAAATAATAATGTGTCACTAAAGAGCTCACTTAAACCACCCATGATGGGTTGCTCTAATATGTTCCTTAGATGAAAGTAGCATCAGATAATAATCAAGTTAAAGTTAGGAATATTCAGTGTGATGTGCTGGTAAAGCTAAGTAGAGGAGAAGCATTCATGTTGAGTGGAAAGGATAAAAAGGGATGTGAAATATAAGGTAACAAATTGAATCCATCCTTTTAACCAAGAATTTTCAAATAGAATAAGTATTTAGCTTTTAACTAATAAAAACACCTTATAGAGATTAATTATTTCAACTTATAATATAAACTGTTATTTAGAGTTCTCATTATTTTAGAAATATGGATTCAACTATTTGCTTTCTATAAGCAACTGAAAAAATTTAACCAAATTGATGCACATATAAGTAAAATAATCAAGAAAAAAATGAAAAAAAATAAATAAAATTCATTAAGGTTACAAATGGGACACATGATGTCTTCCTTAAACCTATGACTATTTTTAATTTACAACAAGTTACAGAAAATATACAAACTCGGTATGAAAAACGCACGGCCGGACCTGGATTGAAACGAGAAGGAAATGGTACAACAAGTATAGAAAGAGGGCTTAAATAAAATCAAATCGCATAAGAAGCCTAACTGACTTGTACTGCTTTCCTTTTCGGTCGTAGAGTGGAACGGCGCGGATCCCTTGTTTTAGTTCTGTGATTGGTAAACAAGTTTGGCCTGCAAAATCATCTGTCTCAGATATGTCATATTCTTGGACTTCCACTCTTAGCAAAGCAAGTTCAGGAACAGTTAAAGGGAACACAAACTCTTCTTCCCAAGTCGGTATCCAATTGTCTTCTTTTATCTTTGTTTCCTTCATTGTTACATCAGCTGGCACTCCAGCTATGCCAACCTGTCTCGCAAATAGACAATGTAAGCTTGTGCAGGAAGTACCAATGGTGTGTTTGGAGAAAGAATTTAATTAAATGCTCACTGAATATGTTATCATATATGATTAAAATAGTCATACCCTGGCATAAAAATCTGGTGGAGAATACGAGTCAAAGTGAGTTTTGTCGAAATCTAGACTCCATCCATCTCCCATGTATATTGTCACCTATCATGTAAGATTAAATTAAAAATGCGCATTTTGCTAACTGCTTCATTTTGATAATATCCTCCCTCACCTTAAGAGTCTTCTTCACTTGCAACTTATCTTTAGGACTGAATACATCATTATTTTGATCTACATTCATTAGAAAGTCTGGTTTTTTTACATAACCACAACCTCCATTGGATCTAAACATTCCATGCATCAACCAAAGATTTTTGCCATATCCCTGTAGTTAGACTAAAGTCTATTAGTCTAACGTATACCAAATTTAGAGAAATTACCATCTTTAAGCAGAATGATTCGTGAAAAATGAAAAAACATGGATCATTTGACATTAATTTAACAGTAATGTTACCATATAATATGTAACATAATAACATTGTAGTAAATTTAGAATGGAATGATAAATAAATTTGTAACACACATAATATTGAAAAGACTAATTAGAAACGCTAAAGAGAAAAAATGAAAAACAAGATGCAAACCTGCATATTGAATGCAACCATTTGAGCACCATGCATCCAGCTAACCATTGGCTTGTAGTTGGAGGAGGTGACCCGTGTACCCTTCGGATATATCCTCAAAAAGTTTTTCTGGGTGAACCTATCATACAATTGAAAGCATTATACTTAGAATGTTGGAGTTTTATGAAAAGTGCAAGAGAAGTAGTAGTGGATCATTGACACATAAATATAGTATTAGACAAAATAATATTTTGACGCATACAAAAGACATCAAATGATCAAACTCAACAGCAAATTAGATGGTTAATGCAGTTCAGATAAGAGGATGGTTCAAAAATATTTAAAAAAGTCACAGCTGATTAGCCATGATTTTGAGCAACATTAATCACAACTTTTAAGTGTATAATCGTGGTTAATGAATATCACTTGTATTTGAAGACATGAAAATCATGTATAATTGAACATAATTTAGATGATTAAAAGATATGAAAATCTTGTATATTTGAACATAACTTGGATGATTAATAAATACATACATATATTTTAACATCTGAAAATCGTGATTAATGATGTTCAAAATCATGGTTAATTGTGCTTAGTAAATAATCAATGAATTGCAACACCGCGTTATATCCATTTACCATATACTGAACATAATTAACCACACATTTAAACTATGTTAATAATCTAACTTTTTGTCGAAATTTGATATCAAATTTATGTGTCAAAATAACAGAAGAACTATTCATATTTGATATGAAACCAGATATACTACCTAATAAGATCAGTTCCAAGTGACTCAGCAGCCTTTTCAAGAGCTTGTTCACTTAAGCTAAGGCGTCTCACTTTATCATCTTCAACTTTTAAGGCTTCCTTAAGACTACCCTTAGGTTTTCCAGCATGAATAGCAATTAAACGCTTATATTCACTCTCCTGATTTGATTCATACTCATCATCATTTGATACATCATCATCATTCAGTTGATTTGTGTCAGAGTCACCCTGTAAGAAAATAGAATAAATTAGAAGATTGTTTGAATTGATTTGTTTAAGCCTACCTACTTGTATGAGCTCTTTTGAGAATGTTTAGAAGAGCTTATAAAACATCTTATGACACGTTCACAAGCTCTTCAGAATAGCTTATGAAAACAACGTATAACTTATATATGAAAACAACTTATAGTTTATATGAAAATAATTTGATATAAAAAAAAGCTTATACTACATAAGCACTTATATGATAAATGCTTGATTAAGTTGTTTATCCAATAAGATTAAAACCAATAGGACATTGTATTGAGAAAATAGAGGCTTCTATAAAGTGCGATTCTTAGATTTTTCTCACCTTATCGTCTTCATTTTGTGTATTTACAACATCAGTGACTTCTTTTCTCCATTCATCTTCATCAGAATCCTTTGAATTAGATTTCAGCAACTGTTTGGAACTCTCCCTCACACTTTTGGAATTTAAGTACTCTTGTGGAGGTTTCGTTGATATCATGATCCTATGCTTCAATTCTTCAGGTGAAGGAATATTGTTTAAGTTTTCATCATTTGGACAGAACAACATATCTCCAAATGTTTGAGTTATCATCTAATATAAAAACAGAATGATGATTTAATTCCAAAAATTTTGTGAACCTGGACGATTATCTCCTTTCAGATATATCAAAAGGGTAAAAAAAATTTAGTCCTTACAAAATTTTCACTTTTTGCTTTTAGTCCTTACAAATTACCTGAGCAGCTTTTTTTTGAAGGTCTGCTTTAAGATGGTCTTCCAGAGTAATTATGACTGGATAAGGAGATGCAACGAAAGCGTAATCTTTAATGGATCTCAAACATTTGATCAACTCCACAGGTGGTGTCAATGTCCTACATTCACATGTGAACACAAGTAGAATATATGCAAAAGTTAGTTATTTAGCATGAACTACCATAAAAAAGTTAAAACCAAAATTCCTTTTGTAAATTTTAAAATCGGAACCAAATCAAATTGAAAAGAAAACCAAACTGTGTGTCACAAACTGAATTGATGTTTTATTAAACAGTTCAGTTTGTGAACTGTCCATAACAATTGGGTTTTAGCAGTTTGGTTTGGTTTTTAGTTTTTTTTTTTTAAATAGTCCAAAATCAGTTAATGTGCAATATTTGTGCTTTCAACTTGTCTTGTTCGACGAGGTGCAAAGTTCACAAAAAAAAAAAACAGTTCCGTTCACAAAGAAACTGTAAGGTTCAAAAACGTACAGTTCGGTTTGATGTAAAGGTAGTTTTGGTTTGGTTTGAAAACAAAAAACCATTGCACCAAATTTTTATATCAATTCGGGACAAACCATTGATGGTTCCTGTCAGATTTAAAGAGCTGCAGTAGCTGTTTATTTTAGTTCGGTTTTTCTTTATGAACTAACCATGAACAGTCCTTACAAGAGATCCTTGTTAGTGCCTAGATACAAATTCATGTGATTTACACTTTATGATAACTCATTCATCAAGCAAAGATAGATCTGCAGAATATGAAAATTTGCGTTCTATCAGTTGCTTATTCTTCCACTCTTAATAGAAGATACACCATCATGAGCTAAACAATATTTTAAAGAGACATACAAATTTCAAATAATTAGTAATTTTTCACAACCTCTATAGTACCGACATTTCTTAAAAAAGGCATGTCTGTGTTCGTGTCAGACACCAACACTTATTATTACGTTCAATTTATACCTTTTTAAAGTTATTACCGATGTCGATGTGTCTGTGTTGGTGTTGTATCCTGTGTCCGCATCTATGCTTCATAGTTCACAACTAGCATTTACACCCGTGATGAAATAGGTTGCATAACTAACCCGTAATAGAATCGGTTATTTAAAAGCAACGGCGCTTATCTATAAATCACACAATCTTACTAAAAGAAAAATTAAAACCATTTAGCAATGTGTTGATGACTAAAATAACAAATACCTTCCATGTAAAACAAGAACATCATCTTTGGTGGAATTGGGCCAAATATCAAGCTCTACAACTCTCACACCTCTTTTCAATGCCTTTATAATGGGAACATCACTACAAACACTGCTGAGTTGATTTCCAGTGAGATAGGAGTTATGGCCAGTATATATGAAATAATGAGACAACGGAGCTGTCATATCCTGATTAACCTGAATTAGAAAACAAGTTATCATCCATTATAGGTTAAAACTCTCACAATCAAATTGCTAATTCTCATTCCTGCAAATTTCATAAACTTGATCTTGTAACAATCATGCAAGGTGTCGTGGTCGCGTAAAGACTTTCACAATTTCGGTCAGTGTTACAATATTGATTGCAATTGTTGCACTGCAAATTAACCACAATTTGTTTTTGCAAACAAGTACACTAAATGAAATTTTCTATGCCTTAAAAAACAAGATTTTTTTCACCCAAATTAAAGTCAATTCTACACTAAACAGTTCAATGATTGAACGTGTAATCTAAATCGTGAGAACTCAAATCAAAGACCAAAATCTTTTACTGCGCGTAAGGTGTTTGACTAAACGTCAAAGCATTGAACTCAAACAATCATAGAAAAAGCAAGTGACTATGACACATTACCTGAGATCTAATCGGAGGATTGAATTCTGCAGAGAACAGGTAATGATGAAAATCATCAAGCGTGAGATTATGCCTCGCAAATTTCGTAATGTGATGCCGCTTTTGCAAAACTTCCTCCACCACCTTTTGAGGATCAAGTTCATCAATCTCATCCATCACCTCGCCCTGAACCTCCGCGAGGAAGCGGCGGAGCTGGTCGGGAGTCATATGGGCCCCACCTTCGGAGTACTTGATGAAAAGCTCCCGAATCTCCTGAGGCACCACCGCCTCCCCGGACTTGAAACTCCGCCGGAAGCACACGCAGACTCGGTAGCTTCCCATGTAATACTAGTAATTAATTTGTAATGCAATGCAAATGAAATTGAAATGAAACTAAATGATGTTTTTTTCCTCTTTTTTGAAATGAAATTACTACAGAGTTAGTTATACACTAACAATAATGCTTCATAAATTCATAGATAAGAGAGTGTATTTATTTATGTGTATACATTCATAACTCATTGATGAATAAATGTGGTTAATAATAGTATATAACACATGGAAAATGAGGTGATAGAGAAATCAATGAAATGAAATGAAATGAATAAAGTGATCCAAGTACAGCACATACTTCAATGATCTAGGATTTTGCCATGTGAAATTTTGAGAGAGAATCATAGAAATGTTTTCATTTCTATTTTTTTAAAGTTGGCATGGGACATGAGCAATTTTAGAAATGAGGTATACTACCAAATTGTAATGATTTGATAACTTAACAAATCACACATGACAAGAGAAAACTTAATAAGAATATTATTAAAAAAAAAACAAAAGGACAGTGACATATAAAATATGAAAATACTTTTTCTTTAAACAATAAAATTAGAAATGATAAGAGTTGGTTGGATATTCAAACTAAGTTGACATTTCAAATTTATCATCTAATTTCACAATTTTAATATTTATAAAAAAATTTAAAAAATGTACTTTTTCTTCTTAATCACGACGACAAGAGAAGTTACAGCGAAAGTGTGCATTGATTGGAATACAAAAGAAGATAGAATATTCATAACGGGAAAGACAGAAGATAGAAGTTCAACAATTACATGTTTACTGTTTTTTCCTTTTATTTATATATTTTTTATAAGCTCTTCCTTTGTATTTAATAGGTGTTTTGAGTTGGGCAAAACAGTCTATGAGGAAAGAAGTAATCACTAAGACTCACGAAACACGATAAATATAGATCAAGCGTCGATCAACAATTAACAAGAAAAAAATAAGACAATCAAAATCATCCAAGTGATTACACAGTTCAGTGCGTTTCATGAGACTCCTTAACAAATCAGTTACAACAAACCTCTTTATATAAGAAAGAAAAGCGCGCCATTTTAAGATAACCTCTCTCTTGTAAGTATAGAGTGCGCCTAAAAGGGGATGAATTAGGTTTTAAGACCTATTCTAGTTATTTTGCATATGCTTGATTCTTTTATTTTTTTTAGAAAAATTAAGATGAATGTATGAATAAACATGCAAAAATTGTTGGCGGAGGATATGGGGATTGTAACGGTCTACAGGGGGTGAATAGACCATTCCCCTAAAACCATTTTCAAAAATATTTCTTTTTATAAAATCAGAATTTTTCCAATAGATGCGCAGATTACATGCTCTGAGGCCAATTGTTGTTACCATGAGAGCATATACGAAACAGAAGCAAAAGATAGCGGCGATTTTATAAAGCATACGATTAAATGGATGTTGTAATTAACTCAGATTATCAATAATCACAACAACTGAGAAATATAAATTTACTTAAACGAACAATTCAACAATTACCATAACTCAATTTTCATATAGCTCAAATTGAATTTGATTAATCGAATGATCAATCTAACAACAAGATTTCATATAACAATAATCACATGGGAGAATGTTCAAATGACTATATTTATCACAGACTTAAACTTTAATCACAAAATCTCTATAAGCGGATAAACCCTAACAACATGTTATTCTATGAAAGCGATACAAACCTAAGCATGCAAAATTATACAAAAATTTAAAGAGAGAGAGAGAGAGAGAGAGAGAGAGAGAGAGAGAGAGAGAGAGAGAGAGAGAGAGAGAGAGAGAGAGAGAGAGGAGGAGGAGGAGAAGGAGAATAATACATCATATATATAATGGTTCAGCTTTATCTTCCTCGCAGGAGCTTAATCCACTAGCCAATAATTTCCATTATAAATTTGTTAGTTTTTCAATAATAATAAAATGGAAATTGTTTACAAAAATTATTCAACCACCTGATACAAGATACTCTTGAAAATAGCTAGTCTTCTTATCTTGATCCTCTCTTGTTGCATGTGGTGTGTGCTTCGTCGATCTTGCAATATCCATCTGATATTAACTTAAATCTTCTAGAATCACCAACCTGCTCCAAGTCTTTGTATGTGGAAATTTCCCGGATACCACTAATTTCTTGAGCGATGACCTGTTTGTAGAACACAGAAACTCCGACTTCGTCTATAGACTTTCGCACAGCTATATAGATTTGATCCTGGAGAAAATACTTTTTCTTTTTCCTACTAGATCGCTAAACTCCAACAACACCACACAATCTAAATCTTGACCTACAACTCAAGAACTTCACAAACATCAACATGAATGAATCCACTCTATAATATATCTCACATTACCTAGAATTAAGAAACAATAATGATGTTAATCTAGCTAGAGGTTGAGGATGAGTTCCAATACTAAAGATATATGTGAAAATGGATTCTTTAAAAGTGCCTTTCCAAATTTTTAGAAATAATTTCTGATCTGACCTGATCAAAAGGGGATCACGGGCTGGCCACACGCCGTTGGACTGCCACCTGTTCACCGGTGATGAGGAGGAGAAGGGGGGTGTACCTGCAAAACACTCCGATGCCAAAGTGAGGAGTTGGGCAGAACGAGAGCAAAGTACAGAAAAAAGGGTAAGAAGTGAATTACCTGACCCTATTGTGGAAGAGGGTATTTATAGAGAGACCCCAGCGCTGGGCCAACGGTCATTTGAGGTGGGTTGGATGCCCAGGCCCAACCCTAATGACTGTTAGGGCTTATGTGGCGCAGTGAAGACCAGAACGTGGTCTTCGCCCTAGTCCAACTGTCCCGTGATCTCCGGAAAGTGGGTTTGACCTGCTCTTTCGGAGGTGGGCGTTGGGAGATGACGTGTCCCCGCGGAGGGGAGCACGTGGAGAACGTGCACCGGGCACGTTGTTTTCCCCGCGGAGGGGAGCTCGCGAGGTTCCCCGGAGGACGTTGTTCTCCCCGCGGAGGGGAGCACGCGAGGATGCGGAGGAGCCATACGGTCTCGCCCAATGGCCCGGGGGCGTTCTGTTCGGCTAAAAGGGGGGCGCCGAGGCCGCTTCGGGACGTGCCGCCTTGCTCGACGGGGAGCGTATCCTGCCCGTCCTAGGGGGTGTGCCCGGTCAGGCTATTCCACCTAATGGGCTTTGTGCTTTATTGGGCTGGACCGCGAGGCTGGGCCCAGTCTAAAACAGAAGCCCCCCAAGTCGAAGCTCTGTAGCGAAAGAGCGAGGACTTAAGGTCGTTGCTTCGGGAAGAGAGGTAGCGAGGTGGGAGGCTCGTCGGTCTTGTGCCCGGTGGAACGCGTGCATGCGCGGGGGTCTTCTTGTCGTCGGGAGAGCGGGGCAAAGGTATATGAAGGGACGCGGCCGTCAGTTTACTGCCACGTGTCACACGTTGAGTGGTAGTAAGGCGGCTACCCTAGGTCATTTAAGAGCCTAGTGTCGCTTCGAGTTCCGTGCCGGATTATAAATATGGGGGTCCCCGCTCATTTTGTCACTTTCCACATTGCTGTCTTACCTGCGAAACTCTGAGATTCCTACTCGTCCGCCGTTGTTGAGGATCGTCGCCGCGCCGTTAGTTCTTCCTGCCGTTCGCCGCCGTCACAAGTGAGTTTCTCTCTTCCCTCCTTTTATTTCTGCCGTTTAATTAGGGCCTGTGGTCGGGGCGTGATGAATGCCCCGAGGAGAGACGCGAGTTCCGCCGTATCTGGCGGTTTAGTTTGGATGAATTCCCCGGGGGGGTTTGGTTGTTCCGATGAATGCCCCGAGGATGGGGGCTTTCTCCGATGAATGCCCCGGGGACGCGTTCCTTTCCCGATGAGTACCCCGGGGAGGGGTGATAGGTTAGCCTTTGAACGCCCCGTGGAGGAGCGGCGGGGAGCGTCTACGCGCTGGTAGTTCTCCTGTCGTTGTCGCCCTTTCACTTGACCTGCGGTGGAAGGGTGGATTTGATCTTGGCTATCAAATTCACCATTGTCCTCTGCTTTTCAGGTGTAGATGTCGGTCTTAATACCGGGGACGATGGTCGAAGATATTGAACCTGAGGTCCCGGATTTCGACGAGCGTGTCCTCCCCGTCGAAGAGTGGGTGGCCGAAGAGTCGTTGTCCACCCCCTCTTGCTTCGTGGTCGACGCGTCCGATGTCTACGCTACCGTAGAGGATACGCCTGAAGGGGAGCCGCAACACTGGCAGGTGTATCGTCTGAAGGAGCATCATCGCATCTGCTCGCGATATGGGCGGCGGATGTTTCCCATGCACGAGTTCTACTTCAAAGAGACCCGGCTCAGGCTGCCGTTCTCCGCTTTCCATTTGGGCCTTTTCGATTGGTTACGTTTGGCTCCATCCTAGCTGCATCCTAATGCTCTGGCCTTTATCCGTACGTTCGAGGTGGTGTGCTTTTATCTCGAGGTGGAGGCCATGGTGCCCTTGTTTTTCCGCATCTTCCACCTGCAACGCCAGTCGATGAACGGCCGTCAGGGATGGGTCTCGTTTAAGCAGCCGACCAAGCTCTTCAAGACGTACAACGATTATGTTCGAGATTTCAAGGGTCGGTTCTTCCTCATGAAACCGATCACCCAGGAAGGCTCGGATACTCTTTTCACCGAGGGGGAGCGAATGGTAGACGGCCAGCGGTTCCTTGCGTGGCTCCCCAAGGTACATTTGTTGTGGACCTCAGAGCATTTCAACCGTGGCACTGACCGGTACATCGTGCAGGCTGGGACTCTCGACGAGAGGGACATGGCCGCCTACATGAAAATAGTGGCCTTCGTGTGGGATCTTCCCCCGTCGAAACTGGTGACGCCCGACGGTCGGTACATCCTCGACGCGTAGGGGAACGTGCGGACGAAGAAAAGGATGATTAACACGAAGACCCTGCTCGGCAGCGCCACGGGGGCGGACGCTCTGGAATATCTAGGTAGGGGCGTTTCTTCTTTCTCGTGATCGTATGTTTTATCCGTTGCTAACTCTTCTGTTTGTTTTTGCAGCGAACATGTCTTC